AGTCTTGTTCTGTCACCAGGCTGGAGTGCAGCGGTGCCACCTCGGCTCACTGCAACCTCTGCCTCCCAGGTTCAAGCAATTTTCCTGCCTCAGTCTCCTGAGTAGCTGGGATTACAGGCACCTGCCGCCACACCTGGCTAATTTTTGTATTTTTAGTAGAGATGGGGTTTCACCATATTGGCCAGGATGGTCTTGATCTCCTGACCTCGTGATCTGCCCACCTCGGCCTCCCAAAGTGCTGGGATTATAGGCGTGAGCCACTACGCCTGACCCAGAACTGTTTTTCTAAAGGACTTTTGGGAAACAATTTATTATTAATAATTTAAGAGTCAGGATAACATTTTTTCTTTAATTAAAAAAAAAAGATTTTCTTTCTTTTAAAAATGTATTTTATTTTCTGTCACGACCAAGCATCTAGGAAGTGCGAAGCCCTGTGCTAGGTGCCACAATGACAGGAAGGCAGTGATAAGAAAGGTTGCTCGTGGTGGCAGGTCTTGTGCAGATGGATTTACCGTGCAGTGGGCGACCACATAGGGAGGTGAGCACACAGGCATCTATGCAGCAGGGAATGGAGAGGCTCTGCGCAGCCTGGGAAAGGTGGGTGTCTGGAGGCAGTGCTCTAAAAGATAGGTAGGTTCAGGAAGGGAGAAGTGGTGCATTGTATCCGATGGCCTTGAGGAGACAGGAGGGAGACAGGGCATGAGTGCAGAGAGGTGGAGGCATCTGAGATTGCGGAAAGACTTTGGATGCAACGTGGAGCCTTTGCACAGATTCCTGTAGTGGGGGATATCCTTTGAGGAAGAGCCCTGTGGCTCAAAACATAAGGCAGATTGGAAGGGTGAGGTGGGAGTGGGACTGTTAAGAGCATAGCAGTTTCCTGGGCATGATCTATGGCTGCTGGACAGACACACAGATGGAGAGACACTGGGAGGTCACCCTGAGCAGATGGGGAGGTTGGTTGGCTGTGAGGACCAGGGGGAGGAGAGTCATGACTGGCTTCCAGGAAGTGACTTGTGAGGCATGGGGCATGGAGAAGACCACGCATAGACAGTGTGTAATTCATCCTTCAAACGGGGGCACTTTTGAGAATGACAGAGGGCACCGTTCATAACCACGCAAGAATAAGTGAAAAGCAAGTCTGTCCTGGGCAAACTGGGGTGAATGAGTACCCCACTTGTAGGGGATACAGGGAAAGGAGCCAGTTTGGGGACGTAGAGAAAATTAATATTTACAAAATCAATTAGGCCCAGAAAAACAAAATCTTTATTTTATTACATTTGGAACTCAAAAGGCACAGCTTTACCCTCATCATCTGAATGTTCATCTTGATGATTTAAGGAATGTTTAGGAATTTGTATCACTTTGAATCTTTATAAAGTGATTTTGTGAGAGTGGCTAGTTCAGGAGAGGACTGTCTATTATTTATTTCTCTGTGTGTTTCCTCTGGCAGAAAACCCTTCCTGGACCAAGGACATTTTGTGTGCTACTCTGAGTTGCAAGCAAAGTGGGATAAGGCATCTCATTTTATCTGCTATACAAGGGGTCACTTTGGCGCAAGACCATTTCCAGGTTTGTCATCTTTAATATTTCAGGGAATTTCATGTTCATGACTATAGGCCCTTGCAAGGCAGTCAAGTTATTCAAACCTTGCTGCTTGGTTCTTATAACTACAGCAACGGTGTCACACACAGTCTTGTTGCAAGTCGGGCTCGCAGAATGACTACTCACGCTTCCTCCCTCTTGGCCTCTCCCAGTGGTGTGCTGGGGTTGAGTGGCATTGATTTATGAGAGCTGATTGTTAAATTTTCAGGAATTTTGCAAGCTGATTGTTAAACATAGATATCATCATAATAAATAAATTACATAAACTTACGATGAAATAAATCATGTTAGAAACATAAGAAATAATTACTCAAGATTCATCACTTCCTAATTATTGTAGTATGTTTTGCTGTTATCTGTCTTCCTGAGATGATTTGCTTTTGTTGTATCCACATGATGGAAATACTATGCAGTCTTGTGCTAAGTACAGTTTTTCCCATCTCTATGTTTAGTGACGTTATGGTGGCAGCTTGAACTGGGCCATGTGGGAGCATTTGCACCATGGAAATTGGCAAGTGCTCCAAATCAGATTTTTTTTTTTTCTGGAGAGTTAGTTTTTAAAAATTTACCAGCCCAGCACTGGCTCTAACTAATTGAATACACCGGCTAGTACCAAAAATTGATGGCTGAATGGGAACCAGCATAGCAGTTTCCTTTATATTAAATTGGACACATGCCCAATAGGATCCCATGTAGGGTCTCCAACTACAGCTAAGTCAGAGAATGTGACTTTTATTTGGGGCCCACTCCTTTGTCCTAGAATTAAAGACCCCTGGGCCCCTAGGCAGGCCTGATCTTCCTGACAAGCTTGGACAGTGGTGATGTCTTTCCAACAAAGCAGTGAAGACCTGTCTTTCTTCTAGGTCTGGTTCTGAATGTTGTTTCTTGCTTTTGTGATGCATACATCTGTGAGCATGAGATTATCACAGAAAGCAGAGAAATAGATGATGCCGAGGGAGATGAGAGATAGCCATGCCAGACTCCCACAGCACGGCAAGGGTGTAGAATGCCATGCCTTGGTGAAGTGTCAGGAGGGAGTGAGAGCTGCTGGTCCCTAATCAATGTCTTATGGCCTTTGGAGGAGTTGTGCATGTCAGCAGGAAGCCCTGAGCAGTCCCTAGCAATGACTGACTGTACAACCCCATATTCACATTGATTTATTTAGAAGATCAAATTCTTATTTCCAGGTTGTGCAGATCTTTGTCAGATATTAAATGTGGATACAGAAAAAAAAATCCTCAGAGACAATTTTTTTTTTTT